GTGTGACTAAAATTAGAAGCACTACAACTGCTGCCAACTTTCTGAGATAATCCCATCATCACATATGGTTTAGGCCATCCTCGTGACATAAAACCAGAGACTTCAATTTGAGTTGTTCCAAGCAGCTGAAATCGTAGAATGCTGCAACCAAAGGGTTTTTATTTTGTATGTAACATTTTAGTTGCATTCGAAGTCTAAAGGGCCATTATTAACATTTCATTCTGAAGAAGCAATTACTTCACCATAGATGGGTGAACAGATAGGAGAACAAGGTCCTTTCTAATTTGATTGCACATGATGTACTCTGTGATTACATTTTGTTCAGCAAGGCATTCAACCAGGCTTTAATCAGAACTTCTACTTGTTTTTAGAGCCTAACTAGGAGTCTTTCTTGCCTTCTAAATTTTACAGGAACTTCACCTGCACGAAATGAGAAGCACTCCTGTGACATTTCCAATGGTGTGGAATTACATTTAGACTCATAATTTGTATTTTATTGCAAGATGTGCCCTTATTAGGACACACAGGATTAAGGGTGTGTACCTCTTATTACAGGTATCTGCAGAACACAATCCTCTCTCTTCTCTCTACTCCCCCTCTTGTCTCTCTCCCTCTCCTTTTCCCATAAGTCAAGATATCCCTCACAGTTAAGAGTCAGAGGTGAACAAGTTTTGCTTTGGTGCATCCAGTGAACACTCACTGTGCTGTACTTCACTTTAGCTATTAAAATAAACAAAATCCTTTCCTAGAAAAAGCTTTCTGAAAGGACTCAGTACTTCTTTTTAGGTTATTTGAGCAGATTTTCAGAACCGCTAGGAGAATATTTAAAATCTTGGGGAAATAATTGTTAACTACTGGCCAGTAAAATAGATTATCAAAAGGGATGTAATACATACCTGTGCATTTAAATATATGACATTTAATCTTGAACATTTGAGCTGGTACATGGAATAACTAATTCCCAGCTTATCTGGCCTTATAATTGAGTCATAGTTTCAGAAAATAGTGAAATCATTCAGATCTGTGATTCTGACTTAGTGTTATGTTTCTGAAGATGATTTATCACAGTTAAGCAGTGATGCTACAGTCCTTCAAGGACAAACCTATTGAATCCACACAGATCTGCTGAAACCTTTAAAGTCACACAGAAGCAGGCACTGTAGCAGGTAAGGAGTTAATGTGTAAAATATTAACAGCCCTAAAGTTCCTTTCTGTCAACAACATATAGGCTATCCTTTTGAAACCTTCCAGCTGTAAATATTAGTTCTGACAGGAAGGGTAATGGAGACCAGGCATCATGTGCTGTCTCTTCTTTGGGCTGGAAGCCTTTGAACGCCAGAGGCTGCACAAAGGGAGTGGGGAGAGATTACAGGAGACATTTTCAAAGGCGTAAAGAGTTCTGAAGGACCCAGCTCCCATTCAAAATCAATGAGAGCTGGACACCTAATTAGCATGGGTACTTTGAAAATCTCCCACTCCTTCTCTTTTATGCAAGTTCCTTGCTATAGAAACAGTACTGAAATAGAAATCTAATTGGGAAACGCTGTGACTGGGAAACAGAGGTGAGGAACTGGATTAACTGCATATTTCAAGACAAAAACTTTTTTTGGACGTGTTCATTGCACTTGCTGTTGAAATCAAAATCAAAATCTTCACCAGTATGCAAACTCTCATCTTTTTCACCTTGAATTTCAATATTTGGACCCCAAAGATGTCTTGTCTTTAGAAATGACTGTGTCATTTTCAGCAATATTAGTTTGCTTTATGTTATGTTGACATTATTGTTGTCTGTATAAAACAATATAAAGGCACATATCTGTTTTTAGAGGACAATACATGTTCAGCTTGCCTGTGCCTGATAAAAGGATTCTTTAATAGGCAAGATTGTGTCTGCTTTCAAATCAAAAGACAACAGTTACAAGAAAGTGGATGATCATTGCCTTCCTGCCACCCTCCCTGTTCTCTCAGGTTTGAACCAAGACCAAGGAATGACTGCCAAGCCGGAACATTGCATCTTCATTATCCTCCAAGATGTAAAGTCAGGGGCCAGATAAAACCATTATGCCTTGGAAGTTGGGAATAGGAGAATGGAGAACCCAAAGATGCTTTGGTGGGGCCTGTTGTATGTGTATCTGCATTATTGTATTATCTACATCCGTAAACCAATTTGTTTCAGTCTTAGATATGACTGCCCTTGGAGACAGTAAGAGCAGAGATCAGGATTTACACCTCCTTGGCAACAGGTATTTTTTATGCCAGAAACAATTTTGATCTTTCATTCAAAAGAAGCTTTATTCTCTTTGCTTTAAATATAATTCTGGTTTTTGTCATTCTGCCAGCTGATTCGGAGTCTCTGGCTTCGTGCCTCGTTATGACACGTTTTCAACTTGCCAATAAAAAAATCTGATATTGAGCCATTTTGGCAAATGTCTATTATCATCAAGGAAGAAAATTAGGGTCCCACTTGACATATGCCTCTGGTTTTAATCAAACTATTAAGACTCTGATATTGATAAATTGGCCAGAAATTGCTCAAACAGTGACTACTGCTACACTACCACTGTAATAATTAGTTCAATGACAGGAATTACTATGATGCAGCATGGCAATTTTCCCTTTGTCTTTGAAAAGAGAAAATGAAGCAGGCAATACCTAAACTTTTGTAAAATAACTGTATGCTTTAAAATACATTTGGTTTACATTGGGTGAAACCAATCCTTTCTGTCGTCACTTGATTATGAAACAATACCTCATTAGGATGTCTTGCATAAGGGGAGTCATCCTGGAACTTATTCCCTACATCCAGCTAATCTCCCTTGCTTTAAGTTAAGATTTTAAAAATTTCTAGGTAACTGCCTTCTGTAACCCTTCTCACTATTACTTTCATTCAGGCATGCAGACAGATAAACAAGAGAGAGAAAATGGGCCTTATAACAGAATTAATCCTATAAGACCTAATTGTCCTGTGCTGGTTGATGATTCACAAACATTTCACAAAACTTCCTCTTACCTGCTTCCTCATAGAAAAAAATTAAAACTATGAAATTATCAGGACTCCAATCCAATATTGTTTTATCGATGTTTGTCACTTAGAATGTATTTTCACAGCATGAGTCATAGTACTAATGATAATCTTGCATCTTTTAATGCTTACAACTCACTGTACACCGTGAAACAGGTAAGTATGTCGAAGTTCTCTGACCTTTCAGGTATAATAAAAATGTTTTAAAGAACAATTGGAAGGAAGACAGTACTGGCTTGCTAATGAACATTCTTTTCTTTTTAACAGCAGGATTTGATATGTGGATTTAGGAGGGAAATTCTTGTATATCCTAGAATTTCCAGCACAAGCATGGTTTTGATTCATATAAGTCTCACACTTTAGAAAGTCCCTACTCCTGAACGAATTTCTACCACCAGCACATTGTCATCCCAGAGCCTTCAGGACAGCTTCACTGTCTTGTTTGTCTTACAAAGGAGAGCAGAGTTTGGATCAGTGAATTCAGTTAGGAATTACTTGTCATGGTGATATGCAGCTGGATTTCACTTATCATCCTTTTATTACAGCCTTCTGCAGCCAGATTGCTTTTATTATGGTTTTGTACACGGTTACATTTTGCTTTGTAAACTGGGGGGTAGTTGAGGATATTTCCCACAATCCATTAATGTAATGATACTCCTGCTTCTCCCACTTCACATTAGTGGGGGAAAAGAATTCCAGCATGTGCGCTCTCAGCAACACAGTAGATTTTTAATGGGTCTAATTTAAGAATATTTCATGCCAGGAAGAAGAAGAAGAAAAAAAATGAACTGCTTTGTAAAAATTCTGTTCCTTAAAAAATTCTCTACAAGGACTGAAACATTAAAACAGCAAACACGTGAAAAGTACATCCAAAAGAACAGAAGATCAGATCTGGATCCATTTTGACTTACACCCAGGGTTTATTTAGCCAAGGCACTTTAGCAGCTGCCATTAGAGATAAACACAGATCAGACTAACCCAGGGAAAGTTCTCTGTTTCACACAGTGCTTGCCATGAGATGTTTGGTGTTAGAGTGAGAGAAGAGGTAGCATCTGTCACAACTTTATACTGAGGTGGTTTGAGGATTTGCACCATGCTATTATATGACCCAATTTTTCAGAACGTGCCAGCTGGCAAATCTGAATCTCCTTGAATTTACTAATATTGGAGACCAATTCTTAACTGGAAAACTGCTCAGATCATCAAGAACTAAGCTTTGTCAGTAGAGGAAAATAAAGAAAATTAGAATGCTTTCTTTCCGCTTTCACATTTGCATTTGGATTTTGCTGTTCCAAGAAAACACTGTTCTCAAATATGTCATGCACAGAGACAACAATTCATAACATGAATGCCAATAAATAGCTTTTCTTGTAATTATTCCAGTTTCACCTGTCTCCCTACTCTTAACTGAAAACGTTTACAGGAGCTAAACCAGTAGTCTTTCCAGTGTCCATTTCAATGAAGTCACTAACAGCTTAGAGGAATGCCCTGAGTGCTCTCTTGTGTGCTGGTAAGAAGACAGCTATGTATTTATCAAGAAAAGAATGTTTTTTCAGCAGTAAACTCTATTTCAGTAAATATTTTAATTTTTTTTCCAGAGTAAAACTCATTCTGTCATTAAATACATTATTCATTTAAGAGCATGAGAATAAGGTATTTCCAAATATCCTGCGAAATACCTACACCTACCTGCATCCCAGTTTTTTGGATTTCAGTGCTACAACTCAGGAACAGTTAAAAGTGTGATTACTTTGGAATGTTCAGATGACAACTGTGCAGGCTACATCAAACTGACATGATTTTTCTTTGCAGTTTGCTTGCAGAAGGAATCTCTGTTATAGGTCAGGTTTTTCATTCCTATCTTCTAAATGGTAGAGGTTACAGCTGGACATTTTTTATGTAACTTATATTTAACTCAGAAATATTAATTTAAATTAAAAGTAAGAATGAACATTACCAAATTCATTACATTACATACCTTTATCTAAAGCCAAAGTGGATGCAATTGCTCAAAATATTCTGAATCTGTACAAGCCCACATCCTGTCTGTCTCCAGAAGCACTGTCAAGCAAACATTAAACTCCATCTTTATAAGTGGTTTAGTGAGGAAAGAAACCCAAACCAATGCACATTCTTCAGCTTTAAAGCAATGATCGTAAAAATTCTCCAGGATTTTAAGAATGTAGGGAAGAGACATTATGCATTTTCAATGCAATTATTTACCTCTGTGATGTGAGGCACTGGTCTGGGTCCAACACAGCAGGTAAGAGTGGTGCTTAAGGAAATAGAAGACAGATACATTGAGAAGAAAGATTCTCTGCAAATGGCAACCCTTGTAGAGAGGACAATGCTTCATTTGTGAAATAATAAACAAATTAATGGATATAATGCATGTGGAAATGCATAGAGCAGTTTAAAGAAACAAGGGAATTGCAGAGCAAACACACTGCCCCTCTCGTGAGGGCCATATCAGAGATAACCTGCTTATAGTGTGCTCTGCACTTCCTCCAAAAAAAGAAAGATAAATTCAGGCACCCTGCACTTTTCAGATCCTGATACCAAACCTACTGAAATTCATCGGTCCCTGACCTTAATGTGCTTTGAATCAGATCCTAAAGAGGAAAAAAAATGTATGCTTGAGAATATTCACTGCCATTCAAGCACTTCCAACACGTACCTTGACAGACAGTGTAACCCAAGCAATTATCCTGCAACGTTGTATGTAAATAATTATCAATTTATGCTGTCCCTGCTCTGACCTCCTGTAATTAGGCTGATGAGGTGTCAGCAAGCAGACCTTACCAGACACTTGGCAACCCTATCTGCAGACTGGTGAATAAGAGTTTTGTTTACCATTCCTTGAGTTCCCAGAGAACTACAGAGCACAACCACAGTGCCATTTAGAGTGAAACTCATAGTTTCCCAATTCTAGTGTGAAACAATATTACTAATTTTAACATTTGAACAGAAAGTATCTTTCTGAATATTTCTCCTTCAAGTGTTTTTGTCATTCTTAATCATTAACACAGATGTACCCATAAGGCAATAATATATTTAAATACTTTTAGATGTTACTTGCTGTAGCTCTTTTTTCTGTTGGATTTTGGTACTGTTGGAAAGCACAGGAATGTGCCTGGAGAACCTTGATCTCTCCAAATTCTACAGGTTAGAAACATCACATGAGCCTTCTGATACATTGGTTTCAGGTAAGATTGTCTCCTCTGCCTGTTTACTTGCCAGAATATTGTATTCAGCTTTACCTTCTATATTTCACACTGTAATATCAGAGAATAATCTTTTATTTGTGCTTGTGTTGTAAAAGTATATAGAGATCATATTATTTGATATTATTTTCTCCACATATTTCATTGAAATCTCAGCTGCCAGCTTCCCAGCACTGAGCACAGTACCTTTGAAGCTCAGTGTATCTGCCAACAACCTCTTATTTCAAAGCTTAAATTTCCAGTCATAACTCTAATCTGCAATTTTTCCTATGGTGCTATTCCACCTGCAGATTATGAAAGTTGAGTTCTGATAGAGGATTAAAGCATTAATAGTATTTATTTATATCTGCATCGATATAATTTTTGGGCAGCTTTACTGAGAATACCAGCAAAATGCCTTTTATTGGCAAAGAAAGCTCAAAGACTGAACTTTGAAGGGCTGTAGAGTTATTTAGCATTCCTATCCCTAATCTCTGTCATGCAGAAAGGTTTCCTCTTTCATCTTTCTAACAGAAGAATTGCTTAAAAATATTATTTGCCATTTTGGGATTTTAGGACGAGTAACAAGTGCAGATCCGAGAAAATGTCAAGGTAAATCACGCACACAAAGAAGTGGCAACTTCCCACAGGTAAGAATTTTAAATCACAATTCTCCCGTGAATCCTAGAAATCATGATTCTCCTAGAAAATATTACTGGTTGGTTTCCCTTGTATTCATTTTTCCTTACAATAAATTCCCAGCAAATAACTCACCGACAGGTCAGATTTAATACATGAAGTCTGCCAGCACTCCTCACATGACATACCTCATACCATTCCCTGGTATGAGAAAATAGTTTTAAAATTATCTCTACTTCTCATACTTCAAAGATTTGCAGGGAAAAAATGGTTATTCATCCAATATATTTTACAGAGTAACACAGAAATTTATGAGAAGTATTCCCTTGGTAACTTTAAGAATAAAAGGAAAACTTGCAGTTTAACCCCATGATCTTCTCTGGCTTTCCTGTTTTCAGTGAACCTTAGAGAACTATTAAAACAACACAGGGTATTGCTGGTAGGCCATAGGAACTCCTTATTTCTGCTTAGAATCTGTATAGAAAATGAACTACAGAGGTCAATAAAAATCAATTTATTAGTTTGGTAAGTCTCAATATTCTCTTGATTTTGTTGTCTTAATAACATTTAATATTACTACACTGTATCTTTTTTTTTTTTTTTCTCCTTAGTCTATTTGCATGTTTGGCTGATTAAAAACTGGTATTGAAGTAACCAGTAAATTCTCAGGAATTGCTAGCAGGGCTCAAAAAGGAAGCATAGACAGGATTTTATCTCCATCACAAGCTGTATCTGTCTTCCTATCCAAGATGCTATCCAGAGTAAAGGTGTGTGATCAGAAAGCAAAAGTACAGCAACTCCATACTAAAGGAAAATTATAATGTAAAATGAGCAAAATGCAACAGATGGAGACAACTGCTGTTACAGACCTATTATATTGCCTCCTCAATTCTGTATGAATATTTATTTCTTACCTGCTGGCTGGAAAGGTAAGTATTTCCTTCAAGGCCTAAAAGGAAGGAGAAAAAAAGGAAAATTACATTTTAAATGGATTTTTTCCCAATGCTCACAAACCAAAATGAAGCATAGACTTAATTTTTTTTTTTCCTCCATCCCTTCTATTTCTACTATTTTAATAAGAAACCAAAATGGAAGTACATTACTTTCCTCATTAGATTACCGCATACCCATCATTTCAAGGGAAATAGTTTTTTCAGTCATTGAATGAGCAAAGGGATGAATGAACCAACCAAACTTTTTTCAAAGCAATGTTAACCAATGTATTGTTGACTTACACCTTGTTTTCAGTATAAAACTCAGCCTGAAGAAACTTAGTTTATAAGGATAAACCACTAATGAAACACAAATCCAGTATTTGAATCTTCTCAACTGCTCATCCTGCCCTTTTGGATATAAAACATAAAAACATAAAAACAATTCCAACATAACATGAAAGAACAGAATTCCTCAAATGTTTTTGTATCTATAAAATGCACAGACCTTTGTAAAGCAATATAATGACATCTAGAGAAAAATAAAAACAGTTGCTCATGGTAATTATATGAGAGCGACAGAAAACCTAAGAAGACTGGTTATTTCCTTTTAAATTCACCAATAGGTCTCCTGCAGCATAGAAGAAATTACAGAGGGAACCAGCAAATATTCTGAATGATTAGTCTGTTATTACAGTTGAAAGTGCAATAATTTTTGCTAGATCATTTTCCAGACACCAACAAAGCTGCATTAGGAATATTTCAAAATCCAATATTGGTACACTGTCAGAGATTTTAATTTCATAACAAGCATTTTTTACATTTGCATCATTAGCATCATTTGCAGTTGCTAATGCTGCTTGTTCACAAACTAATACAAAACTGACTGTTTGCTTCCAGCCAACTACCCAAATAACACGATGAACATGAATCATCATTGGGTGTAAAAGACATTTAAAAATATTTTTATAATTTCTGTTCATCCGCAAAACTGGATTAACAACTCTGGGATATATTCCATTGTATCAGGTTCAGAAATCATGGAAACACTGATATCCCTGTAAAATTATTCTCTCTAAGTGGTGGAATTATAAGGATCTGAAAATGTCTCTAAACTATTAGTAGTTTCTTTTGTAATTTTGAGAACATCTTGATATGCAACTGAGTTGTGATTTTTGGAAATATATCAGAATAAGCAAGATAAAATTGGAAAGAAGTTTTCAGACTGAATATTGCTCAGGCTTTTTTTCCACTATTTGAAAAATAATGAATATAAATTGATGGTGTGTGTCCTTAAGTTCATGACACAACACATTAACTGGAGAACAGATCCCAGTAAGGAATCAAACAAAAGTTATCCACTGAAATTCAGATCTAAAAACTTAGCAGAGTAGAAATCAGAAATAGAGATTGCAAAAAGTGGTAAATATTGTTTTGAGACTAACTGATTTCATGTTCTGATTTCAAGAAATGAAATGATCCCATTCCAAATCCAGCCGCTTTCTCTGGAATAACTATTGATTTCTGAGAAATCTGGAACTGTTAACGAGCACTGAATGTGGCAAGAGATTTATCTGCATGAGGAACATTGAAAATAAGTTCAGGTGGTTGTGTGCATGCTCATATAAGGAAATATTTTAATGTTCTTTTCTTAAAGCCGAGTGGTAGTATTTCAGCATTATGGTTAACACACTGTATGATTTTTAAGATATAATTGTCTTTTTAGCTACAGAGGAAAGGGTGGATTTGCTAATGTATGTCAGACAACTGGCCCATTTTTAAATGATTGTTCTCTTGGCAAAGTCTGATATCAGGGAAACAGAACTGTAACGTGCAGAGCATTGGACACTGCAGGAAATAGTGCAAACCAAAGCTCGATTACTCACCAATAGTTCCAGTAAACTTTTTATAGTTTAGGTACCACACAGCATGAATTCTTGTCTGTCAAGCCCTTATTGAAGAGAGTGGGAAGCAAGAATAGGTCACTCACTTATCCAAGCGATGGATTCTCCTGTGTTGGCTACAATACTTGCTACCAAGTCCACAGCTTTGCTTCCATCTGTCTTGAAGAGCTATAAATGTCCCTGCTAAGTCCTATGATCCACTGTCAAGGTCTATATAGGGCATAAAGAAAGAAGGATGATGATTTCCTTGATGGAATCTCATCATCTACCTCCAAGCAACCTGTGAGATGTTAGTAGTGAAGGAATTTCTTCTTGCTCCCTGACCCTTAATAGGCAATTGGCTTTTACTTCTTAAAATTATAGCATGTTCCTTATTTTAGTTTATCTAACTTGAAGTGTTAATTATTGGTCACAAAATTACCCTTTTGAAAATTGCCCATAAGAATTTCATACTCTAAACTTCTGCATCTTTGATTTAAACAGATGGACTCCGAGCTTTTGAGTATCCCACTTATTTTTAAGTGTTATAGCTTTAATTATTAAAATATCAGTCTTATATTTAAGGATAAAATGTGTGTCTATATGTCTATATGAGTATCAATGGCATAGGATCAGAGCAGGTTAGCATTCAGCTAAGAGACATTTTGTCTCGGATCCCACAGTGGTCAAGTGTGATGCACACAAATCACAAATATGCTGCTGCTCTGAATGGTCTCTGATAGCGCTCCCAGCTCACAGAGCATTATCTGAGCACTATCAGAGTGCTCTGCAGCTCTTTCAAGTCCTGTCTACACACAGATACTTCCTTTTCAGCTGCAGCTGCCACCCTGAGCAGAACACAGGCGCTCCCGGTGTGATCTGAGCTGATGGGGCTATTTGCTTGCCACTGCGCCTGTATTTTCATACGGACAGGGATGGCAGGAACCTCCCCTCTGAAGTCAGCAAATCCATACTAATTTACAGCAGACCAGGAGCTGGCTCTTAGCATACTTAGCTGCTTCTTATATGGTTTATTTGTGGAAGGCTCAATAACTCTACTATCTGCTGAAGAGGAAAATGCACATCTAAGCATAATAGGGTAACTTGAACATTGTTATTACAGCCGAGGTGCCACGTTCAGCTAGATCAATGCTCATATTAAGATGTTTGTTAATGAAACCCCCTGGCATATGGCTAATTTATGCTTCTCAAGCAGCTCCTGTAGGCTGGCTACTGTGACTGTCATAAAATATATAGGTGTGCAATTCATCTGGCTAGATTAAAATCGTGAACTCGTAGCAAGCACATCAAAGACAGCTTTATACCTGCTCTGTGGGTCTGCACAGCAAAGATAGAAAATGCAATTTCACTAACTCTCTTATTTAATTAAACAAAGGAAAAAGAAAAACAAGTGGAGCTGTTATAAGAGTATCAATCCCACCTGACTTACAGAACTTTGATGATCAAATTCAGTACCAAGTATATCAGAACTTGGTAAGCCATTGAGAGAACCAAATTGGCTGACTGGCATCCCAGTGGGCAGATTAATCCATGTGAACTCTTCCATTGAGTGTATACTGCCCAACCCTCTAAAATAGTACTTTTTGTAGTATAAGAGACCTGAGTGATTTTTGTAATTGAAAGTATTTTAATAATCTATTCCTCAGCTAGAAGGACCTACAGGCAAAATGTCAACTTTAATCTTGTTTTGCTATCAGGCTTCTTCTTAAAAAAGATTCTCCCTACACTGAAGCAGCCCTAAATTTGTTTCTGTTAAGGGGTGGGGAGACTGATTGCAAAAATGACTAAGCTATTTTTTGCTACAGGTCTTACAGTTTTTCTCTGAAATCTAATTCAGCAAACAGGTACATGCCAGTAAGGAACACAGAGGAACCACGACCTAGAGAACACTAGAGAAGATGAATATTTAAAATATGGGCAGATGAGGTGGCCTCTGTAGACTTAGTCAGAGCTGGGGCATGGATATGAGCAAATGACATTAACAGGCTGTTGGCTATTTTCAGGTGGCACTCTGCCACCACCTTTGCTCTTTCCCTCACTGGAGACAAAAGGTTCACTGCAGAGGATAAAAATAAATGAAAATTTGCATGTTCTGATACAAAAATCTCCAAATCCTGAGCAGTGCCTGTATATTTTGCATTATAATGACTTGGAGCCTTGGAGCTCAGAAACCATGGGAGCCTTAAGCAGAGGCAATTCACTCCTTCAGTGACACCGATAAAATCTGTTGATGTCAGGAAGAGTTCTAAAAAACCTTGCTGAATCCCTGAAGGGCATTAACCCTTGTTAATGGCAGAAATTTGAGCTCTGTGATCATGGTACAGCACAATATATTGTATCCAGTCAATCCATCTGAATGCTGGTGTTTCTCAAAGTACAGTTCCCTTCTGGGATAAACTGCCCAGAATTATAGATTTTGGGAACAACCTGCCTGCTCAGTGACATTGGTATTCCTGTCAGCTTCTGTGCCAACAGCAGCAGGAAAGCTGAAGAGAATGCCAATGAAGCAGGAGAGCTGCTTCATTACATGTTTTGGTGGATTTGAATCAGAATTCTGCATGTTCTCAATCAGTAGGAAAATTTGAAATTGCAACTTTAGGCAGATCTAGATCAAAACAAAAATCAGTAAAACTCAAAATTTTCTGTGAAACAGCAATCCTGTTCCTTCTATTGGCTTTATTATTCACATCAAAAAGATCTGTGGAAACGGCAAGAACAAATTTTCATTTCATCCTGCCATAGTGCTGGGCAGAGTTGCAAGTTTCCAAGTCATGTTCTCGTCCTCGTGCTATACAAAATAGGATTTTATCAGTATGAACAAGTCACAATGAGAAGCAAAAGAACCAGTAGGCTATACCTACTCCTGAAAGGTGAGCTCTCTGCATAAATGCTTCTGTTGAAAAACATACCCCTAAAAGTGAAAAGAATCTAAAATGTGGGATATACAAATGTGTTATTTATGCCACAGTGCTTTTATTCATTGCATCAATAATTTTGCTTGCAGAGACACAGGCAGATGATTACCTTTAAAAGGAATCCTGGTGCTCTATTTGTAGCAGGTTGAATTTCATCATAAAAATATCAATTTTCTCATGTTGCCTCAAGCTTAAATA